CTTCGAGATGCGGGAGCGCATGGATGCGGAGGTGCGTGGGAGACATCCTGCCGTTGAGCAGCTGCAGGTGGTGCACGAGAGTGAACTGGCGGCCCTCAAGAGGGCGTTGCAGACGGCGCAGGAGGTGTCGGAGGGGACGTGTCGCGAGCTGCGAGAGCAGCACGAGGCGTACGAGGCACGAGCGCGGCGGGACATGGCGGATATGATGGAGCGTGTCGAGGCGCTGCGAGCCGAGCTGCAGGCCAGCAGCGACCGTCGAGAGGAGGAGCGCCGTCGCCACGAGGAGGAGGTCTGCGCGCTGCGCTCCCGCCTGCACGTGCAGGAGGAGGAGGCGCAGCAGGCCGCTGCGCGGCTGCGTTCAAGGCACGAGCAGGAGCTTACGGAGCTGCGGGCGGCGATGGACGGCCTCCGAGCAGCGTCGGTGGGACGGCACGAGACGGAGCAAGGGCTGCTCTCCTGTGCTCTGCAGCGGCAGATATGTGAACTTCAGTGGGCGGAAGCGTGTTCCAAATGCAGGTTGCAGGAGGCAGAGGGTCGACACACGTTGTTGTGTGAGGCACTGCAAGGGCGGTGGGAGGTGTGTAGTGTCATTCACAGGGCGCTGGTGGCGGTGGCACGCGAGCTGATTTGCCCCAGCGAATGCTGCGACACGACACACTTCTGTCAGTGGGTTGTGGAAGGCACCTCACGCTTTGCGGAGGCGTTTACTGTGTCTGTTTACCGCCTTCTTGACGCGAAGAGTCATTTATTTCTGGCGTGCGGCGTGGGATTGCGTGGACGTGCGCGGCCCGGTGTGACCGACGGGCCCTCCCCACATGTGCCACGAGGGGAGTCGCACCGACTTATGGCGGATGTCGCGCCCCCTGCCGCGAGCCTCCTGCGCCGTTCCGTCTCGACGCATGACGTGACGCGGTCAATGGTGCGGTACTCAAAAATGCTGAACGAGCAGCACCTCAAGAACGATACACGACTGCAGCGGCTTGGCGCACTCGTAACGCGAGTCGATGACTTGATCGAGCGTGGGCGTGCTGTGTCGCGGCTGGAGCGCAGCCACAGTGAAGAGCCGTGATCCTGCCGTGCAGCGCATTAGATAACACCACGCGTCGCTCATGGTATGACGGCTGTGCATGGTGGTGGCAAGCGAGTTGGGCGGCGCGAGGGATGTATGCGTGCCGTAGTTTCTACTGTACGAACTGTGAGGCGGCGGTGGTGTCAGATGCGTGTACGAGTAGGACTTATACGCGTGTATGCGGTGCGTGGGGCTGGAGTGCCTGCAAGTGTGGGCGCGGGGTCTTCCTCACCTGCCACGCGCTCTATGTCCCACCGTGGTGTAGTTATTGACGTCTTGCCCGGGTGTGTTCTTCTGTTTACCTTCTCTCCCCCGCTTTGTGCCCGTTCTCTTACCTGCAGAGCCCCACTGGTTGTAGGAGTTGCGAAGGTTCTGCAGAGCAAAGACGCGGAGGAAACCACAGCGTCCACACAGACTTGACAGGAGCCACGGACGCGGACCGGGTCGCAATGGACGACGGGGAGGAGAGCCTCACCAAGGCGAAGCTGTACGCGAGCATGTCCGACGACGATTCGTGGACGGAGATGGGTGTCGGAGTCGTGTCTGTCGTTCTACGCTCCTCCGCGGCGCTGGATGGTGGCGACAGCGATGACGGAGGTGCAGAGGGGGCGGTGGGCCATCTGGAGATGATCGACATCGACAACCCGGCGGAGCTGCTGATGAGTACGCCCATTACCCTCACGGATGCCTACGTCATTCAGAGTGAGACCATCCTGTGGTGGTCCGACCCCCAGCTCGGCCGCAGCATGGCGTGCAGCTTCAACACAAAGGAGGGCTGCGAAAAGATATACGATGAAATCGTGGCGTACCAGCAGTCCCGGAAGAGCGCCGTGTCACGCGAAATGAACGGCGCCGAGGTGGTCGCAGCGCCGTCCATCTGCGCTCACTGGACGGTGTCTCGCGAAAACCTGCCGGCCATCCTTTCCGCCGTCACGGCCAACGCCCAGCGCTTCGGCATGTATGTGCGGGGCTGCGACACGTACTTTAAGGAGCTTGCGGAGCTTTTCCAGGCGTGCCAGCGTGACGGGGACGTGCGCGGCATGGACCTGACGGGGCAGATCACGCTCGCACTGCTGCGCTCGCCGTTTAACACTGACGGAAAAATAATTTCGCAGTTTGTAGAGAACTCCCTCGTTGACATGTGCGTGGACATCGTGCAGTATGCCATTGGGCGGCGGGAGCGTAGCACGGGATTTGTGAGCCTCGAGGAGCGTCGCGCGACGTTCCGCAACCCGCTGCAGCTCCCAGAGAGCATTTTGTCCCGCATTCACGTGCTGTATTCCTGCGACTACCTCAAAGACCTGCTGCCACTCAGCCTTGACGAAGCCGACGCCGTGCCGTCCTCATTGCTCTGCACGTATCTCATGTCCACCAAATTCCGCCTGGTGGAGGAAATTTGCCGGTCGCCTGTATTTATTCTACGGGCGATCGAGCGTGCCTTTGGAGACGCCGAGAACGCCTTTGACGTCCTGGCCTTCATTTACGACATGGCCAAGACAATTAAAAACTCAATGATGGCACTGAATTCCAAAGCCTCGCTCTTCGAGGCTCTTGTGGGTAATGGTCTTCTACCGTTCCTACGGTTTGTACTGGAGAGTGCAATACGTGACTATGCAGCCATGCCCCTGTCACAGCCACTACAAGCACCGATACCATCGTCACCCGCATCGTCTGCACCGCCGCAGTTGCCGTGCATGACGCCCGGAATGGCGATGCAAAAGGCGTGTGACATTGTCTGCAGTTGCATCATGTTGTATCCAGCAGCGCGTGGCGGGCTGGTTGCGGAAGCGTCTAGGAGTCCTGACGGATGTCTTTTGGATTTGCTGCTGCAGTGCATTGTGACTAGCCAGCGCGGTACAGAGCTGCAGGCGGCGGTTGACGCCGTTGTGAGTTGCGGCATCGGCATGCTGCAGTACATGCCGGACCTTATGGAAATGAGCGGTGCGACAAAGTGCGATGTGGTACGCTTCTGGGTGGAGGGGGCGCTGGGGCGACGGCCCTCGCTGCTGCCGCTTGCTTCCTGCATCGCCAAGACACTCGCTAGTGGTGAGGTGATTGCACGTAATTCACATGAGGAGATGCGGGTGCTGCATGCGTTGAAGGTTCTCACCGCCATCACGGGCGACATCAACGAGGCGCTCAGCCTTGCCTTCGCAAAAGTATTGGTTCAGGCGGGTTTGCCATCGAGCCTCGACGCCGCACTGCGCTCAGAGGCTCGCCCGAATGCCAACGTGCAGTCTTCCGTTGTGGCCTTTGTTGCTGCCGTGCTAAACAGCGGAAAGCGGCGCATGGTGGAGAGTCTGCTTGGCGACGGCACGTTACTTGACACGGCGCTCCGGCGCTACGTGGCGTGTGCACGACGGAGCAACATTCTCAGCGCGTCGCTGGCGCATTTACTGGACTCCGTCTGCCGCTCGATTCATTGCGAGAAGAGCGACAGGGCACGGCGCATCGCCGGCCCAGCCGGCAGCCCGTTTGTGCACCTGCTGAGCAACGGGGACGAGGACGAGGACGATGACCTCGCAGAGAACTGCAGCAACGGCGCAGCAGAAGAGGGTGAGCTGCGGCAGCAGCAGAGGGACGGAGGCGATAAGGGCGTTGGTCTTTGCCAGTCACTTGGGATGCGCCTGTGGACGACGTACGGGGAGGCGCTGCGGGCCCACTGCCCCGCGCTCGCCCTCAAATTGGAGCACGCGCTGCGGGAAACGCCGGAGGAGGCCCGCTCTGCCGACGCCGAGACGTCCAGCGTGGCGAGTACGCTGGAGCGCAGCATGAGGGGCATCTCCGACCTCGAGTTCGACGCAATGGTGATGGAGTTTGGTGTCGAGGTGCCGCCCCCGCGCCCGCTGCTGCCCGCCGCCCCCACCGCGCACGGCAGTGCGGACCCCGCAGCGACCACAGACCCCCCTGTGGACAGGCGCAGCGGCGGCGGCACCCCGCATCTCAAGAGCAGGCGCGAGGCGGAGGAAATGGAGGAGGAAATAACTGAGCCGCTACTGAAGCGCGCTCGATCGGAGTCGTCGTCACCGTCGTCTTCTTCGATTGGGCGGTAGCGGAGCGGGCGGCAGCGTTGATGAGCGCGTAATCTCCTGCGGCACCAGATCTATTTTTCTCTCTCTTCCTCTGTGTGTCTGCGCCGGCGTTAAGGCGGACCTCCCGCGTCGTGCGCAAGAGTGGTGCTGTGTCTCTTCTACATATATATCTTCTCTTAACTTCTTCTCCGCCTGCCGCTCACCCTCGTTTTCCCGCCAATTCCTCTCCGCGCCCGCCCCCAGCCACACCAACTCACACGTGCACACACGCAAGGCGGATAGCAGCAAGTTGCCAGCAAAAGGAAGGCAAACAAGAGGAACGGGAACGGTGAGTAGGGAAGTAAAACAAACCAAAAAAAAGAAATACAAGCAAAATAGCGACGAAGAGGAGAAAAAATGGACCTCGTTGAACACAAGAAGTCAGTTCAGCAGTTGCCTTTCCGCAATCTCTCGGAGTTTTGCATGTTTCTTGGTGGCACCAAAACCATTGAACGGGTGCTTATTGCAAACAACGGCCTTGCTGCGGTTAAGGGCATCGACTCCATCCGTTTGTGGCTGTATGAACATATTGGGGACTCCGAGGCGGTGGAGTTTGTTGTCATGGCAACGCCGGAGGATCTGCACGCCAACGCTGAATTTATCTCCCTCGCTGACCGCCACGTGGTCGTCCCGGGAGGGTCGAACTCAAACAACTACGCCAATGTCGATCTCATCATGCACACGGCACTGCAGACTTCCTGCGACGCCATCTACCCCGGGTGGGGCCACGCGTCGGAGAATCCGGTGTTGCCGCTGGAGTGCGCCAGGCTCAAGAACAACGTTGTGTTTCTTGGCCCTTCTGAAGCGGCCATGTTTGCGCTTGGCGACAAGATTGCCTCCACCATTGTGGCGCAGTCGAACGACGTGCCAACGGTGCCGTGGAGTGGTGATGAGATTCGTCTCCCTCCGGGTGTCTTTGAGGTAGACCCGCTGGTGTACGAAAAGGCGTACGTTACCTCTGTGGAGGAGTGTGAGGAGGTGTGTGGACGTATTGGGTTTCCTGTCATGATAAAGGCCTCGGAGGGTGGTGGCGGTAAAGGCATCCGATGCTGCCTGCGCATGGGGGATGTGCCTGAGATGTTCCTTGCGGTGTCGGAGGAGGTGAAGGGCTGCCACATTTTTGTTATGCGGATGCTGGAGAATGTGCGGCACCTCGAGGTGCAGCTGCTTGCGGACAACTACGGTGACTGCATCGCGGTGCACACCCGCGACTGCTCCGTGCAGCGGCGCCACCAAAAGATTATTGAGGAGGGCCCTGTTTTTGGCGTGGACCCCTCGATCATCGCCTCGATGGAGGCGGCAGCCATACGCCTCGCCAGGGCTGTTGGTTACCGCGGGGTTGGCACCGTGGAGTACATGTACGACAAGGCTACCGACAAATTCTTCTTCCTGGAGCTTAACCCCCGCCTTCAGGTGGAGCACCCCGTCTCGGAGCTGATCTCTGGGGTCAATCTGCCGGCTGCCCTCCTCTGCATCGGCATGGGCGTGCCGCTCTACCGGGTGCCAGAGGTGCGCAGCTTCTACGGGGAGCGGCCCTACACCACGACGCCGATTGATTTTGCGCAGCGCAGGACGCTTCCGGCGAAGGGGCACACCATCGCCGTGCGCGTGACCGCAGAGAACACGGAGGAGGGGTTTCGCCCCACCTCGGGCCGTGTGGAGGAAATCAGCTTCAAAAATAGCAAGGAGTGCTGGGGGTACTTCTCCATCGGCCAAGGGGGCGAGGTGCATCAGTTTTCCGATTCACAATTCGGCCACATTTTTAGCTCCGGTGAGACCCGCGAGGACGCACGCCGCGGGATGGTCATGGCCCTCCGCAACCTTGTCATACGCGGGGAGATCTACACCTCCGTCTCGTACGTGCTGGAGCTGCTGGAGCGGGAGGAGTTCATCGCCTGCGACGTGAGCACAGCGTGGCTTGACCGACTCATTGTGGCGCGTGCGGTGCAGCAGCCGCAGGAGCAGGACGTCTACCTTGCCCTGATTGCCGCCTGCGTCTTCCGCATGCTGCGCAAGGGCGAGGAAAACGTTGGCAAGTACGTCACCTTTCTTGGTGCGGGACACGTGCCCTCACCTGACTATCTAGCCAACTGCCTAACTGAATCGTACGTGAATCGAACCAAAAAATACACCGTCACGATGGGTTACATGAGCCCCACTGAGGTTGCCATTTCACTCAACGGCAGCGTCGTCACGGTGCCCCTCCGCAAGCTGAAGTCGGGGGGACTGCAGCTGCGAATTGGGGGGAAAAGTTTCATCGCCTACGCGGAGAAGGAGCCGACAAGTCTGCGCATCTCCATCGGTGGCAAGGAGACCACCTTCACCGGAGACACGGACCCGGCGAAGATTTTGTCGTCCGTCCCGGGCCGCTTCGTGCGCTACGTCGTCAACGACGGCGGTCATGTGGCGGCGGGCCGCACCATTGCGGAGGTGGAGGTGATGAAGATGATCCTGCCGTTGCGGGCGACCGCGGCTGGGGTGCTGCACCACCGTGTGGCGCCCGGCAGCACCATTGCCGTGGGCACCCTCATTGGCGATCTCACGCTGGACGACCCAAGCAACGTCACCCGCCCGCACGAGGCGCAGGAGCCGTGGCCCCCCATGCTCGTCGGGGATCGGGAGAAAAAGCTGGAGCGGCCCAACGGACTCACCCGGGCCCAGGCTGGTGTGGAGTCATTGTACAACATGCTGCACGGGTACCACTTCACCGGAACCTCGTTGGCGAAGCGGCTGCAGGAGGCGTTTGAGAACCTTTCCTCCCTCTGTCTCTCCACTGTCGTCCTCAACGCGGCCAACTTCCCGCTGCTGGTAACAGCGTTATCCGCCATGGGGTGGGATGATGCGGCGGGGGCCACGCCCAATGAGAAGCTCAAGACCGTCCTTAATGCCCTTGTGGCTGAATACATTGCGGTCGAGCAGCCGTTTGCGCGATGCAGTCGACAAGAGGCGATCCAGCACCTGCGCGAGGCGAAGGATGACGCAATGGAGGTTTATGCACTGGATTTTGCTCACCACCAGCCCTGCCACCACGGAGTCATCAAGGGTCTGCTGAATATGCTGGAAACCAACAGGCTGCTGCTCAATTCACTCCAAGGCACGCTCTCCTCCCTGCTGGAGCTGCACTCCGTCACGCACGGCTCCCTTGCCCTGCAGGTGCGGTATCTACTGCGGCAGTGCAGTCTTCCCTCCTTTGAGGATCGCAAGACGACCTTCGCGAAGGAGCTGGAGGAGAGCCGCATCACCGACCTCATTCAGGGCAGCTACGGCAACGATCTCATGTGCGCCGTCATGTTCGACCACAGAACCCCACACCTTGTGCAGCTGTGCCTCGAACTTTACATCCGCCGCGAGTACTTTGGCGAGAGTCAGGTGAAGAACCTCGACATCTTTGTCCAGGACGGCTGCTGGTACGGCTCCTACGAGTACGAGCCACTGGAGGACCACGACCCGCTGCGGGCGGAGTGCTTTTCCCCGTACAATGAAAATACACTCGACGTTGCCCCGGAGGGCAAAGGCGCCGGCTTTTGCGTGATGTTCGCCGACGATCGGGTGCTGCGGGAGAGATGGACGACTGCCCTCGACAACGTCATGTGTCATATCCCGCATGAGAACGTCGTCTGCACCGTCTTCTTCGCCGTCAGCGTCCAGGACGGCGCTGAGGAGGCGGCGCGGCACTGCCAGCAGTTGCTGGACGCACACTCCCAGGCTTTGATGCGGCACAGGAGCCTGCAGCGCGTCACCTTCATTGCGCACGGCATTCCTGACGGGCCGCACACTTTTACCTACCGCCAGTGCCATGGGTGGCGCGAGGACGCACTGATCCGTAACATTGCACCGCTCTCCGCGCGACGCCTTGAACTGCACCGCCTGGTGAACTACGACGTTGCCATGTACCCGACACCGTTCAAGGACGTGCACGTGTTTCGTGCGACGCCAAAGAAGAAGAATCCATCGTACTTGGAAAGTCGTATGTTTGCACGCGTGTTCCTCAGTCCGCGGGACCTGGGTGTTGAGGCCTGGACGGAGGCGAACGAGATTGACGCGGGGCACATGGTCGCCAAGTGCTTCAGCGCCCTGGAGTTTGCACGCAACGACAACACCTTCAAGTACCCCACGTACAACCACATCTTCATCAAAATGGCGGAGCTGACGTTTGACGTGACCAACATGAAGCGCCTATTCGAGCACGTCGGCAAGTCGTATCGGCAGCGGCTGAGCTACTTGGGCATCGCCGAGGTGGAGCTCTCGTTCAACGTTCGGGTCAGCAGCGGCTGCATCCCATTCCGCGTCATCATCTCGTCACCCTCGGGCTACAATGTCGTAATGCGCACGAGTTACGAGTGGATTGAGAACGGCATGATTTGCCTGCACCGCGCAGAAACCTCCGAGGACATTGCCCTCACAACCGCCTCAAGGTCCAGCGAGAATATTAACGAGGCCTTTTTCGAGTCAAAGGACGGGGGCAGCTGTGGAAGCTGCAACAACAACAACAACAATACCAACGGCAGCAAAGGCAGCTGTGGGGCTACGCTTCGCACTCTGTTGCGCACAGCATCAAAGCTGTCTGCGCTGCGCAATCTTCTGCCCTCGCGTGTCACGACTGCGGCTGCGGCGGCAGCGGCAGCGGCCACCGAGGCGATTGACGAGGTTGAGGAAAGTGTCCCGCTGGGGCCGTACCCAATGGTCTCTGAGAAACAACTGAGGCGCCTCCAGGCAAGAGCCCTCAACACTGTCTATGCGTACGACTGGCCGCAGCTGCTTGCTACCGTGTTGAGTGATCAGTGGATGCAGCACGCGTGTGGGCGCAGCTTTTCGCGTGAGTGCATTCCAAAGGAGCTGGTCAAGGCGAAGGAACTCTTTCTTGACGCAGCCGATGGCAAGACCCTCTGTGAAGAGAAACGAGATGGTCACATCCCATGCGGCATGATCGTGTGGCTGGTGACTCTTTTTCCTCCGACGTACTACAACAGTGACACAGACGACGCGGGAAGCCGCTGCATTGTGATGGTCGCCAATGACATCACGTTTCAGTCAGGCTCTTTCGCCGTCCCGGAGGATGACGTGTTCAGCGCGGCCTCTGAGCTGGCGCGACGCCTGCGCGTGCCTTTTGTGTACATTAGTGCCAACAGTGGGGCACGGCTTGGGTTAAGTGTGGAGGTAAAGAAGCGGTTTCGCGTCGCATTTAGTGCGACGAACGAGGTGGAGTATTTGTATCTCGTGCCGGAAGATTATGAAGAGCTGGTGCGGCTTGGCGTGCGACTGTCGGTGGAGCCACGGCAGGAAGCATTGGAAGGTGAAATGCGCTACGTCCTCCGCGGCATCATTGGTGGGCCCAACGAGTACCTGGGTGTGGAGAATTTGCGCGGCTCCGGCCTTGTGGCGGGGCAGATGTCTAAGAACTACGGCGAGGTGCCGACCATCAGCGTTGTGACTGGCCGTAGTGTTGGGATTGGCGCCTACCTGAACCGCATTGGTCGACGTGTGATTCAGACCGACGACGCACCGCTCATACTCACAGGCGCCACGGCGCTCAACCGTCTTCTCGGCGCGGAGGTGTACAGCGACAACAGCCAGCTCGGCGGAAAGCAGGTGATGGTGCGGAATGGAGTGACGCACTGGAACACCAAGAACAGCTACCGATCTGCGGAGGCTCTGCTGGTCTGGCTGAACTACGTCCCGCCTACGGTGGACCCGCTGCGGTGCTGCCCGCGCGTGCTTGTTCTCCCCCACCATGACCCCGTCGACCGTGACGTGACATTCACGCCGAGCGACAATGAGGCATACGACCCACGGCAGTTAGTGTGTGGCGTGGGGAGCAAGTTGGGGCTGTTTGACCGTGGCTCGTGGACGGAGTCGTTGGAGGGGTGGGCGAAGTCCGTTGTGACAGGGCGGGCAACGCTTGGCGGCATTCCGTGTGGGATCATTCTCGTCGAGACACGACTGACGCGCAAGTACAACCCCGCCGATCCCGCCGACCCCACCTCCGCCTCTTCGTTTGTTCCGCAGGCGGGGCAGGTGTGGTTCCCCGACTCCGCACGCAAGACGGCAGACGCACTGGACGACTTTCAGCACGAGCGGCTTCCGTGTTTTATTCTGGCGAACTGGCGCGGTTTCTCCGGTGGAATGCGGGACATGTTCGACGAGGTGCTTAAGTTTGGTGCCTCCATCGTCGACAACGTCCGCGCGTACAGCTGTCCCCTCTTTATCTACATCCCACCCCACGGTGAACTGCGGGGCGGGGCATGGGTTGTCGTCGACCCTCTCATCAACCACAACGGGGCGGTCGAGATGTACTGCGACGTCACCGCCCACGGCGGGGTGATGGAGCCCGCCGGCGTCGTGGAGATCAAGTTTCGGGAGAACGACATCCGGGAGCTCATCCGCCGCAATAACCCACACCTTGCCGCGCTGGATCAGAAGAAGATGCGAGAGGAGGAGAACCGTCTTTTGCCGCTCTACCGCGACGTTGCCGTTCGCTTCGCGGATCTACATGACACCCCTGTGCGCATGGAGGCCATGGGAGCCGTACGGGGCGTGGTCCCGTGGAAAGACAGCCGACGCCTATTCCACGTTAAGCTTCAGCGCAAGCTGAAGGAACTGTCTGTGGCGGCCTCGATGGTAGAGTCAAAGACCGTTGTTTCCCTGTCGGAAGGAGTCAGGAATATCGAGGCGGCCTTCGCGAAGGAGCACCCTGATATTGCGTGGGGGACGAATGATGCGCTGCACTTGCGGTGGCTTACCGAGAAGGAGAGGGCGGACGGTTTCTTTGGGGTTGGCTTCTCGTCATTGCCGCTGATGCCGACCTCGGCGCCTCCGCCTACGGTTGAGGATGTGATGCGGCTGATGACCCAATGCCAGGCTGCCTGTACGTTAGAGGCGTGCTTCGATAGCCTCTTTGCGGACAAACGTGTGCTGCAGGCCGCAATGAAGGCAATGCAGCGGGCGCAGGAAGGTAAGGAAGAACCTGAGAATTTTGCTTTTTCTTAAGATGGGTAGATGAAGCATCCTGTGTGGTGTGGCATACCTTATTTTATGACGGGTTATCCTTTGTTTACTCTTCTCGCTTTTGTGTAGGTGACATGTAACGTGTTGACGTGTCGTCCCCCAATGCCTGTGTGTCTCTCTGTGTGCACGTCACTCTTTCACCCATTTTTCTCGCTGTCCCGTAGTGCATAGTGCGTGGTGAGGTCAATGACCGACGCGAAACGGGTGGCGGCTGGTGGCAGCGGCCTGCCGCAGCCCCCCATAGTGGGTGATGCCGCCATGTTGGACCCTCTGGAGGGCATCCTTGGCACGCGGCAGGATTGCAAGTATATAAAGAAAAAATTACTTGGCCAGGGCAGCTTTGGCAGCGCGTGGCGTGTGGAGGAGCGGGACACGGGCACAATCTACGCGGCAAAAGTGATGGACACCAACAACATGAGCTCCAAGGACCGCGGTTTTGTGACAAACGAGGTAAAATGTCTTTCACGGTGCAACAACGCCAACATTGTGCGGCATCACGTCTCCTACGAACGCGGTGGGATGCTTCTCATCATCATGGAGTACGCCGACGGCGGGGATCTCTACAAGCAGATCAAGGCGAGACAGCAGTCGACGCGGTACTTCAAGGAACACGAGGTCCTTTTTATTTTTCTCCAGCTATGCCTCGCCCTGGATCACATCCACATGAACAAGATGATGCACAGGGACCTGAAAACGGCCAACGTCCTCCTCACCACCACGGGGCTGGTGAAGTTGGGCGACTTTGGATTTTCGCGGCAGTACGAGGACTCTCTCTCCAACCCGGTTGGCTCCACCTTCTGTGGCACACCGTACTACCTAAGCCCGGAGCTCTGGCGCCGCGCGCCGTACAGTAAGAAGAGCGAAATGTGGGCTCTCGGTGTGGTGCTGTACGAAGTTATTGCCCTCAAGCGTCCGTTTGGAGGTCGCAACATGGACGAGCTCATTGACAACATTCTGCACGCCCGCCGGCAGCCCCTTCCCAACATTTACAGTGATGATATACGCAACGTGTGCGATCAGCTGCTTTCCCTCGACCCAAAGTATCGCCCGTCCCTCCGGCAGCTGTTTCAGCAGCCGTTTGTTCGCAAAGGGCTTGAGACGCTGCGGCGTAGTGTGCTGAACCACAACCGCATCCCGCAGAGCGTGCAGCAGGAGATTGCCCGCAACGTTGATGAGGTGCTCAGCTCCGACATTCAAGACTACGAGGGCAGTCGCGTGGTGCCGCGGCGGGGGACTGTCGCCCGGCACACGGCGGATCGTGGCTGGCAGCAGTGCGACCTTTCCTTGAATGAGGAGGCGATTGTCATGCGGGATGTGGCGACGGGCGCGGAGGAGCGGGTAGAGCTGAGCGCCGTCACATCGGTTTGCCCCATCGACGCCGCGATTACGAACGAGAAGTTTGTCTTTGCGATGAAGAACCAAACTGGCAAGGCATTTTGGTTCAAAGAGTCCAACGAAAAGGCCTACGAGGAGTGGCTTGTGACGCTGCAGAACGCTTTACCGTGTTGAGGCGGCCGCGTAGAGCGAACTCCGTTGATAAGTTTTGGGGGTAGAAATTTATTACGTTGATTCATTGAGGTATGCCCATATATATATATACACACACATATCTTCTTTTCTTGATGCATGCACGTATTATCCAAGTGGGGCCAAACCTCGGCATGGGCGGGGGGTTGGCATCGCTATATATATATATATATATATATATATATGGATGTAAGTACATGTGTGTATGTATGCGTTTATATATATAAATATATATATATAAACGAAAGCAGGGAGGAAGTACAAAGGGCATTTGATTTACAGAATGAACGCTTGAAGGGAGGGACAAAAAACTCACAAAAACAAGAAGAAGGAGAAGGAAAAGCAATATTTATTTATATATAACTAGTCAACACAGGGAGCCAATGAACAGAGAACACGACGACATAAGGAGGGGAGGGGGATGGGGAGCTTTTCAGCGCTTCCATGTGTGTTTTTGCGTTTGATCCTCCTTCGGGGCCGCCTCCCTTGCGCTCTCCGCTGCATCGCCACCTACTGCCGCTTCTCCTTTTCCCACGCCTATGTGTGTGGGCGGGGGCTGCCGCATGGGTGAAACCCTTTTTTGCACCTGTTGACAACCGCAAGGCTCCGGCGCGGCGGGTGCACGCCCACGGCGAGGCAAGGGGAGCGACGACGGCTATGAAGACGAGACGGAGAGGCGTCCTCGAACGACAATAAAAACAAATTAATAAGCGATGAAGTGTGCACTTAGAGGCTGTGGCGACCGAGCTGAAGTGTTTCCGTGGGTAGAAGCCGAAGCATCTGGGGGCGTAGACGGAGGGGTAAGCGAGGGAAACGGTGCGACACGGATCACCCTGAAGGAAATCGAAGGTTTTATTGAAGCGGCGTCCGTTGATCCTCCCAAAACAAAATGTGTTATATATGTTGTTGTTTTTTCTTACTGCACGGCTACGTTTGCTGCCGCCGCTGCAACTACTGCTTGGATTTACCGCTTCCGTCGAGAAGAGTCACGTTTGTTTACCTCTCGTTTAGATACACAACCGCCCGCACTTTTTCTCTCTTTGTGTGCGTGCAGATGGTGGGAAAGACCGAATAATTTTGTTGCGTGCTGAGCTGCCTGCGGCGTTGCGCTTTTTTGTTGTTGTTTTGCTTCTACCCGTACTTATTGATTTGCAGTGGCTTTAATTTTGCTGTTTTCCTTCGCCGTGCAGGTGCGTGCCGCTGGAACGAGCGGGACGGCCCTTCTGCTTGCCCACAGTCATTGCACTTGGTCCACTGTTGGCACACTATGGCATGTATGTATGTGGTGTGCGGGTGTTCATTTTTGGATGCCTGCTTGCGGGTCGCCTGCATGGGCCTCTGAGGAGGGGGAGTGGGCAGCCGGTGCTTTAGATGGACAAACGGAGGGCGGATGTGTCCAGCACTGGCGCCTGCTGCGGCTCGGGCTCACTCGCCACTCCGGCCCCCCGTCGTGGTCGCTCCGCGTGTGCGTGTCTGTGATACATCCTCGCTGGCGTCCATTCGTCACCGTCATCCTTCGTTGTGCTGCTGCATGTATTGTTGCTTTTGTTTATTGTCACCCTCGCCTCTTTCCCTCCCCCCCCCCCCGGTGGCGTGGACCGCGAGCACCGTCGGTAGTAGCGCTCTAGTGCCGCACTAATAAGTGCCAGAGGAGACC